AAATGCAGACGAAAGGACCACTTCAAAGGCAGGAATGGGTCAGATAAATACAGATAGCATGATCATATGATTCCAATACACCCTCCAAAAATGAACGGTAAATGTAGATGCCGAAGAGACTTTGAGCCCTGCTGTCTTTTCCTTTACCAAGCTTGCAAGGTCAAACTTGCCTTCTCGTTCAACTGTGAACTGGTGTCCAAAGTGAAAACATATTAGAATTATCATTGCAGATGATAATACACGTGATAATGACACATACAATTAGCAGAACGAACAGGACTAGGTTTTACTGTTGCCCATTCCAGTCATTTTAATGGCATGTATCTTGAGACATTACCTGCCCCGATTTATCCACTCGGGTTCCTTATAAAAGAATGAGTTACCTGCCTGTGCACTACTGACCCAGAAAATCCTCTCCACTCTCTCTCTGAAGTCTCCAGTTATCCCATAGATTCTTTGCTAACAAATCTAGCTTATGTTGCTTATGTCCATGACCACTAGCTAAGTTGACCCCCATGACTACTGAACTGAGTTGACTTGTGTAAGAAAGAAACCCAACACAACCCATTTTTTTTTAACATGGACTATTTCAGTGATCTTATGCACGTAGTCTCTGTGCATGAGGTTTTTCTCAGAACTGAGTGGGTGATGAACTGCAGCAGGGTGTAGGAAAGAGAGGCCAGAAACTTCCGAAGTCAGAAATTGTTCTATGAAAGTGTAACAAAAGATGCTTACTGGGAGAAGAGGCAGAAGTCATGGCTGAAAAAAATCCCCTTTTAGAAATTCTACAAAACAGGAGAAGAAACGTTCACCAAGCTTCAAATTCTTGGAAATATTAGAAAGAAAACTTCCTCACATCCTCAGTTGAGACATTTTGCCACACATCTGAGGCATTCACTTTTGAGGGACAAAGCTGAGGACAGTTTTCCGGGTCTCTCCTTTGTCCTCTGACCCTTCAGACGCTGGCCTTGGTCAGAAGGTCAGTCCTGTGGGGTGGGAGAATCTGAGAAGCTCAGTTTATTGCTCCAGAATAAGCCTGGTGTAGTAGAAGGCTTATTTCTCATCCACCATAAATAAACTCGGAATTATTAAGAGACACACCATTGACTCAAAATTTTATGTAGCAGCTGGGGAATCTGTCGAGGGTATACTTATCAGTTGAGGTCTATTTTACGAACTCCGCACATAACTCAAACCATCAGCTCATATTGGCTCAGCCTTTCGCTGACAGGGACCGTGTCACGTATCCCACAGGGCGGCTGGAAGCCGCCAGCGGACAATGGGGGCAAGCGGCTGACACGGGCCGCCGCGGGTCTGGCAGAACAATGCAGCTGCTGGGGAGGTTGGCCCCGCTGAAGGAAACTCGCTTCTCCCAGGTTGTCTGAGGGGAGGGACACTGAAGCAATGGAAATTCCCCAGCAGTAAAGGAGAACAAAAGAAGAGGTGTTGGAAGCTGCCGTTAAAAAAGAGACAGGCTCCGAAACCTGCTGGCTGCCAGACTTGGACAGCTTCTTCCAAGGCCTGAAAGAAGAGAGGAGGGTCCCCTGGCTGACAGAAAACCACACTGCTCTGCAGGACGCAACCCCCCAGGACACGTAGATTAAAAACTACTCCCTTACACAGAGGACCAGAGTTTTACAGTTGCCCACTATCCCCCATTGAGGCATGGGGTTGGGACGGCAGCCGCTGCCGAGGACCTGGCTCAGACTGGGGGTGCCCCTATGCCTGGCAGAGGCCCCCACACCAGAGCCGGCCATGAAACCCCCCACTGCCCCACAGCCGGCACCTGGGCTCTGCACAAGCGCGTCCCTCTTGTTTTTGCCTGGGTCTGGAAGTCTCTAGATTTCCTCCCCTGATAAAAAGCTGTGGCTGCTGAAGAAATTAGTTTACAGAGCCTCCAAATTCCTTACAGCCGTTGTCATATGTCTGCAACAGGAGTATCTGCGAGGCCAGGGTGCAGGGAGGGCTGTGCTGCACCACGGCTGGGGCTCGGCGCTGCGCTGGGACCACTGAACCCCCCTTTCTAGCAGGGCTAACTAATTCTGCAAGGACTCTGCACCTGGAGAGGAAACTTGAGGAGTAATCCATATATGCTAGATTAAAATATCTGCTAAAAATCCCTTCAAACCCACACATATCCTTCTCTGAAAAAAAAATTAAAATAAACCCTGTGATTTTACAGCTTAGTCTCCTTAGTAGTACAGCCATAATGGGTGTTTTTACTGAAACAAAGGGAAAAGTTACATTGATTTATAAATTCATTAAAACGCCAGGAGAAAAAGCAGTGGCTAACTAAGTTCTGCCATTGACTGTCATGGCTTTTGGATCAGGCCCAGAAGAATGCTGGAAGAAGTGGTGAAACATTTTATTTTCTAACTTTTTAGTGGCTACTGCAAACAATGGAAAATACAAGCACATACTTAGAATAACTCTATCCTTTGCAAAATGAGATCACACCTAAAAATACTTCCTCTTGTTGCTGTATAACTTCAGTTTATGATAATAGCTATTACACTCATATAGTGAAGAGGAAAAAATAGCTTCCCAAGTGCTGGGTAAAAACTTGATATTGTATAGTAGAGTTTCTGCTACAGAAGAAACTTTAAAACCTGTAATGATTCAGACTATTTATTCAAATAGCAGAATGGACAATCCAATTATTGCACAGACCACATGAAATAAGGTGGTAAAAATCCAGCGGGGTTGAGTTATCAAATTATTGTTTGGAGACAGGAAAATTTACACGATGATGATCGTGATTCTTTGTATCAAAATTATATCAAGTATTAAGAAACAACTGCAAAATGTATCTGAATTTTAGTTTTCCAGTCTGAAACAATTAGTGCTATTATTTACATCCCCACACATAAGGCCACACAGCTTGAATTTCCTGGGATATACATGTGCTATTAATTTTTAACTTTGCTCTAGGATCCAAGCCTGAATGACCAGGCCCTGACACTTTCTAGTGCAAGGGTGTGTTTTGTCTGCTTGTACCAGAGACTGTTCCAGTACCCAGGCTTCTCAAAGTGTGAAGGTATTCTTCAGGAGTTTACATTTTACTTTTTGAAACCATCTCCTACACTTACATATAACACTTAAATTTCCTTAGCAATTTCCGAAGCAGCCGACTTTCTCAGCTGTGTTGCCGTGCTACGGATTTCATCATTGCTTGACCAGAGAAAGGAGTGTTGGTTAACCTAAAATCTCCATTTAGAATTATTTTCTACAATGTTGCATCAGTTCCCTGAGTAGCACAGACGTAACAGCGAACAATATTTCTGTTACCTGAAGAAGAGTGAATCAACATTTATAGAATAGCTCAGGGCTGACCTTCTTAAGACAAGAGCAGCATTTTCTTATCCAGTTTCCCCAACTCCATTACATATAGACAGAATTGGTTTGGATTTTAATTCTGACACTGCTAGTGAGATTCATTTCAAAGTGTGCGATCCCCTCAAAACATAGAAAAAGAGGAGAGTAAATGCAAAGTTTCTGCAGGAACAGAAATATGTGCAACTGCTTTAGAGAGCACGCAGCTGACCCTGCTCCTTCCTCTGTCAGTGGGAATTTTACCACTGACTCCAGTGAAAGCGTAGCCAGGCTAGTGATTTTCTAACACTTGAAGGCAATTATTTTTATTTTAAAATGCAGGAATAGCCTCCTGCTCTGGTCCTGTTCTCAGCCTGAGGCTGTAGCCCTGCCAGCACTGTTAATGTCATTGTTTGCGAAGCGTATTCCCAGTCTCGCGTACACCCACGCAGGGCTCCCAGCTCCCGGCCGCGATGTCCCCCCCGTATTGCTGTCCCCCTGCACCCACCCTGCATTGTTCTCACCCCTGCCCGCCCGCCATCCCCACCCGGGAGGGACCCTTCCTCCCTCCCACTCCTCGCAGCAGCTCAGGCTCCTTTCTTACCTACTTCCATATATTCCGCTGACCTATTGGCATCAAAACATTTTCCCTTTCTGAAAGCGCATTACATAAACTATCGTTACTAGATCCCACAGCTTTTGTGAGCTGTGGGCGCTCTGCCGTGAGAAGCCCAGTCCAAACTCTCTTAAACAAGAAGATTCTTATTTCCTTGCTGTGGACTTTAGATCAGGCCCAAAACCAGGATTGATAGAATGCATTATTGCATTTTCAGATAGGTTATAAAAGGCTAGAGCAAAAATATGTTGTCACTATAGAATAGAAATATCTAACAAGACAGAGACACAGGGATTGATATTATTACAACTTCGCAATATATATGTACAAAATGACTGGCGTGATTTACATAAGCTCCATTGTTACAATAAATAAAAGTTAAATCCTTTCTAAGCTGTGCTTTTTGTCTTTCACGTGTAAAAGCAAGTAGGGTTAAAATGTACTTCTAGACAGAGACAACTCAAGGCTCGCATTTATGTAGTCAAGTGTTAATCACAGACAGGATTTCTAAAATACCTTATTCATACATGTATGTCTATGTCCATATATATATGAAGTATAGAAACGGTTTTATTCATTTATGAATTAAACAATGATTGAATGTTTAAAAAGATTTTTAAAACCACACAGAAACAGATGACGCTAGCCGGCTGTCCTGTCATTATTTTGGCCACCTTGCTTTTTACTGCTCTCCATTTTGTACATCCATGAGGTTCTTTTGAAATAGTTATCTGTACTGTGCTGTGTTTTTCACACAGGCATATAGAGATACTAATCCTTAATTTTTATGTACTTCCTATTTTTTTCCTATGATACTTCACTTCAGCTGTGGTCCTGCTTTCAAAACGATACTCCCTTTTTTCACAAAATCACATTTATTATAAAGAGTATCATACATAAACTGTTATCGGTGCTCAAGGCAAAAGCGAGTCTTTGCTAATCCTTGGGAAGAAGAGCAGCTATATATGGTTAGAGTAGATTAAGTATGGAAACAAAAATAAATACCTCATTTTATTAGTAAATAATTAATATCTTTTGTATTTTAGTACATCAAAAACTTGTTAACTCTTACCGTGGCTTATGCGATGAAAGCAGTAGTATGCAAAGTCCACTCCCAGGAGCGTCAAATACCACGTCCATGGTGAGTCCCAGGGCAGTTCAAAGAGTCTGTAGTTATTCCATACGTAGATATAACTAATTAAGTCAATACTTCTGAATAAAACACTGAAATAGAGATCAAAAAAATTTGATCAATAATTTTGTCAACTTTAGTTACAGAACCTTTTTACTATATATTTACCATTTATCAGACACGAGTCTTTTTGTAACACATAAAACCAGCGTCCAAGTTCTGCAACCTCTGCCAAGTAATAGACTATTGACTTCAGTGGAACCTTTGCTTAAGGTCTATGAGGTTTTTCAAACCAACCCTCACCCACTCACCACCCACGTTGTGGCATTAGGCATGCTCAAAGGCTGAAGCACTCCTGTGCTCTGCAGGTGCTACGGTGTTCCTGTTCTCCCTAATCTGGAAGAAATGTATCATTGCTAACTCACATGTCAGAAATGACTGAAGTATAGAGCAATTATGCTCAAACACTAACGTATGACGTTAAAATACCTTGACGTCCTGTGCAACTTGCTGTAGGTGACCCTGCTCTAGCAGGGGGTTGGACTAGATGATCTCCAGAGGTCCCTTCCAACCCTCACCATTCTGTGATTCTGTGACTATTTCCCTTGTAAGGAAAGGCATAGAAGGTGACAGTATTTTGGGGAGCAGTGAGATATTCAATCTGCTCAGCATATCACTTAACTTCACTTTAAAAGAGGATAAATGCAGCAGGAGGAGACAAAGCTTAGTACCTTTGAAAAGAAGGGAAAGGACAATTGGTATAGAAAAATGGCAGCACTGCCAGATAGGGGGAGAAAAAACGATGAATTTGCAAAGGCAGGAAAGCCACCAAACAGCAGCTTTTTTTGCTGCCGAGTTCATGGACTACAGGGAGTGAGCAGCTACCCCTGACCTAACACAGATCAGTGCTGAGACTGGGAGAAGGAGAAGGAGAAAGAAAGTAGCTCTGGGATGGGCAGGCCAGATCCATCAGTAACTCTCCACAGCTGTTTAGGTTAATACAAATTTGGGTTGCCACAGTCACACCCCCCCCTTCAATTGCTTTGGTTTTCCTGTGTGAGTTTTTGGACAGATCGGGAAGGGTTAACCCCAGCATGAGAGAGATGAGAAGCCATGGGCACTGGGGTGGCCCAGGTAACAGTTGGCTTAGGTAGCTGTGAAATGATGCCTCAGCTGCAGCCTGCTGTATATTTAAACTGGTTCTTTTTGTAGAAGAGAGTAGTCCACAGCATGATTTGCAGCAGCTCCCCCACAGCCCCTCCTGCTTCCCTCCTTTGCCATGTTGCTGAAAATGTTTGTGGGACTGTGGTGAACTGAACTGGGGCAGCCTCTGAAAACCAGCAAGTAGAAAAAAGCAGGGAAAAGATACAAATTGTAGCAAAGTCACACATATCCTTTTTTGTGTCCCAATGCATTAAATGCACCTTAATTTAGGGGCCTAAGAGTCAGAAGTAAGATTATCATTAGGACCATCATCTCCACACAGAAAAAACTAATCTAGTTGTCAGATGTTTTGCTGCTGGTATATTTGGGAGGCGGAGGGGGGGCGGGCGGTGATGGGGACTTATCAGCAGAACAACATCTTCATGCAAAGTTGTGCAAGATTTTAGAAATCTATAAATCATGTTCAGGGCTGAAGGAAAAATGAGGGCTTCAAATTCAGGGAACTTTAAATGGAGATTGCAAATTGGAGATTGCAAATTGTGATTGCAATTGTGAGGCCACACCTTGAGTATTGTGTCCAGTTTTGGGCACCTCAATACAAGAGAGATATCGAGGTGCTGGAGCAAGTGCAGAGGAGGGTGACGAAGCTGGTGAAGGGCCTAGTAAACAAATCATATGAAGAGTGGCTGAAGGAGCTGGGACTGTTTAGTTTGAGGAGGAGGCAGCTGAGGGGAGACCTCATCACTCTCTACAACTATTTGAAAGGACACTGTAGAGAGGTTGGTGCTGATCTCTTCTCACAGGTAATTAATGACAGAACGAGAGGGAATGGCTTCAAGCTCCAACAGGGTAGACTTAGACTGAATATTAGGAAAGAATTTTACACAGAAAGAGTGGTCGGGCATTGGAATAGGCTGCCCAGGGAGGTGGTTGAGTCACCATCCCTGGATGTGTTTAAGAGCAGTTTAGATGTGGCGTTGGGGGATATGGCGTAGGGGAGAACTTTGTAGAGTAGGGTAGATGGTTGGACTCGATGATCCCAAGGGTCTCTTCCAAACTAGACAATTCTATGATTCTTATTAAATGGCATACCTGCAAGATGCTACTTGAACAGAGGTGGTAACAAACTGCACGTAAGCATCACAGCCTTGCAAACCTTAGCTGAAAGACTGTCACAGACCAACATCTCTCTTTTGTTTTAGTCTCACCTAGAACTTCACCTTACATTGAAATCAGCTAAAAGAATCTCCGTGTATGTCTGCTCATTCTTGTCTCAGTGCCACTTCTCAATGGTACTTCTTCCCAAACCCTGCCTTTTTCTTCCACCCCTTTTTTTCAGCTAGATTATTTTTGATGTATTTTACAGCATAGCCCCAAAAATACTTGAATCTGCAAAACTAAAAAAGGACATATTATACTCCTCCTCCTCTAAAGCCTTGTTTCACACACCTGGAAAACATCTCTGAAAACAGTCTGGCCATGCCCTGTCCTTTTGGGTAGCTGCACTGAAACACGAGGGAACCTCAGCAAACGCGGCTGTTCCAGTTTGTGAACCATCCCACATGCTATGACAAAGTCAGCTGAAAATCCCACGCTCCCAATACTAGTCTGCAAGCAGAATAGTATCCCATCCACCATTTTAACCCAAGAAGCTGAAGCATTACAAGGAGTTGTTGCTCCAGAAGACGAGAACTAATATTTTTTCCACAGCCAGCTGCCACATCTCACCTGCAATTTTTTCCTACCTTTACTAAAATCATCCCAGTTTTTCTCTTAGAGAAAACCAAAACACAACAAAATCCATGAAGTTTCATTTCAGCAGCTGGCAGATGAAGAATTTCTCTTCACTAGCAATGACAGGTGTATCTACCACTTCAAAAACAACTCAGCTATGCCCAGAAGTTGGACCATATGCACCTGGAACATGTTTAATTTTCATAAGAGCTGTGTTCTATAAATACTTTTAAAGAAGATTATAAGTGTCCAACCAGACTTTTGCAATTCACCTCATGAGGTATTTGTAAAGTTCAGTATAAATTCTCAATCCCTTTTCACAACAGGTCAGAAGGGAGCTGATATTATTCAAACACAAAAAAATGGGCATTTCTTAACATCTTTTCAATGACCAGGAAATTTAAAACACCTCTTGCAACATAGAGTATCAGTTATTATTAGGTACTGTTTTCTTACTTTATTCTTTTGCTTTTATTAACGTATAATGCCTTTGCAGTACATCCAAAGATATGTGAACTGGTACATTTCCTTCATTTTTGATCAGCTTTCAGTATTTCCCCTTGAGTCTTTTTTTTTTTTTTTCCACAGGCTGAGGCCAAGGTGTAAAACTTGAGCTAACCCTGCAACACATTTTATATATATATATGTAATTTGCTGTACATTCTTTCCTTCATGCTTGAATCACAACTCTACAGCACATATACACTAGCTGATTACTGTAATTAATTTAGAGTAATCCATCATATCACTATTCAATGCTGGAGAAAGAAGAGTTGCTTAGCTAAGTATTTTTTAAAAATTTACAGCGTGATAGATAGGAAAGTCCAGAGCTTGCATTCAATTACGATTCTGAAAGTTCACTTGGAGTTTTAAAGGTTTATATTGCCCCTTTTTTTTCCTCCCTCAAGTTCCATTTTCACTTCTTGAAAATACTGAAGAGAACTTAAGCAAACTTTTTCCTCATTTAAACGTTAGGTTTTAACCATAAATATGACAGAAGCGGATAGGTAAAGCTTTTGTCATCTAGTCCAATCCTCTACATAAAGAATAATAAATCCTAGAACAGACAGACTGTATAGAAAATCTTATTATATACATTGCATAGATTTATCTTGTTGGATTTTGAATGTTTCTGCTGAAAATTTTCTTATTATGTGCAAAGTATGCACTTAGGCAACCGTTTTGACTTTGAGAGAGTTCTTGTCTCCTTGTTTCTAAAATTCATATATAGTTTACTCAAAGGTGATAATATTTGTTTTAATAAACCATTTTCCCCCTCTCCTTCCACTGGGTGAGATTATCAGCTCCTCTAATTAAAAAAGTCCAAGAAGGAAGTCCTGGGAGATGAACTCTCCATGTGGAAATGAAGATCTGCTTATGGTAGGTCCCTATGGGATAATGAAGGAGGGAAAAGGTGGAGGAGATTCAATTGGAATAAAAGGCAGCTGCCCATTTCAAGGAACATTAGGTCCCGTTTTGCTTCCTCCAACTCACAGCTCAGCCTTAGAGCCTGAACCCAACGTTTTAGGAAACCTCCTCCACGGTGCCCAGGACAGTCACCAAAAGGGAAAAGGGTCAGAGACAGTAGCTGCTGTCTCTCTTCCAAGCGTGGAGGAAGATCCATATATCAAAAACGAAGACCTCAAAGAAACCGCCTCGGCTCTTACCGCTATTGCGGTCCCCACCTCGTGTCACACTGGGAACCGACCTGGGGCCCCTGAGCTAAAAACACAACTCTACAGCTGGACCTACAAAAGCTCGGCTCTCAAAGGCTCTAACAGACTTGCATCCTTGGAGGTCAGACACAGAGGGAAACATGTTAAGACACCCTGGTCACAAGGTTATATTATCATTAAAAATAGTGAGATATTACTAATACAGTTTCCCTGGGTTAAATAAATCCAGTTTCCCTACCCTGATTCAAACTACATGAATGTAAAGTTTCAAAATGTTGAACAAAGGCAGTTTCTCCTCAATAATTTGAAATTATTCAGACCATATATGTAACAGCAGGATACATGAATAATTAAATGCTCTGTAAGCCTTTGTTTCAAAGTGGAAAGCGTAAGGATTTCCATTTCCAAGGGTACTCATAGAGCTTTCTCTTCCAGATGAAAAACTGGCTCCAGTCACAATTGAAATAAACATTTTGATAACATGATTTCAGTAAAGAGGAGAAGGGGGGGAGGAGGTA